CAGAGTGACAATAAGATAGACAAGGATAAACGGTCAACTCAACAGGAATCGTTGAATGACGGAACGAACTTTCGAAATGTCAACCTGTTCTCATAACTTCTCTAAATTGGAGTTTATAAATAAACCGTACAACACCAAACATTTGAATGGTTAACTCCAAACAAGCTAGTGCCTATGTAATCTTCTTGTTATCCACTCTTATCAAGCAACTTCTCGTATTCAGTTAATTAACTCCTGCTCCATTTGTATCTCCCTGTGCTGTATGTATCGTACAAACGTGGTAGGAATGTAGCCGGTATTTATTTGGTGCCTGGGAAAGTGTCAGTGGCTGTGCTCTGAGTGCCCCTGGAAGGCCCTGATTCGATTTTGTCCAATACTTGTTCCTCTGTGTCTGGAACTATCTTCCTGGAACCACTCTCCTCGCCCTTTGTTGGCGTGAGTTCTTTCATCTTCTGCTATGTTACTGTAGCATTTCCCCTGAACTAATCGCATATCCGCAAATTCGTGAACGGGAATTCAAAGTAAGTCACAGTTTGACAAATTATTGGTATTATTGACAAAGGCTATCCACCTGTAACTATCTTTTAATGACAAAAAACATCATTGCCGCTGTGCCTTTTCATCAAAAAATTGTAGCAGGGAACTTTTTTGATATCGAAAATTTTCGTAATTTGAAGCAAAGATCGTAACTTTTCTTTTTGAATGCTTAAGTATTCCAATATGCTGCCAATTAATGGATGGAACAATTTCAAAATAATGCTTAATAACAAAGTTGAAATTCGATCTTCAACTGTTTATATCTTCTAGAAAATTTCGAAGAAAAAAATTTCAAAATTTTTCTTGTACTCTCTCAGGGAGCCCCTATCACACCTTAAAAGGAATGACGTCAATTTTGAATCACCCTGTATTTGCTCTTCTCGATTGTGTTCATTTCCCTGAACTACGCTAAATTTCACCCTTCACTTTCAACGGATGGTAGTTTTGCAGGAAAAATCTCGTCAATACTGATCAGGCTGTTGGGGCCCTGCTGCTATTGCAAAATGTAGTGTGAAAACTGTTGTGTGGAATTGCTGTGTGGAATTCATTTAATTTATATTTCGCTTATAAATATTGTACGCAAAAACGACACTAATTGATACATTTTATTATAAATAAATGTTCGCCAAGCTGAGCAGCAGCTGCATGAAGATTCGCTTTGTCATGTTTAATGCGTGTGAGGCAGATACTTTTGTCAGAAGTGGAAAATTGAAAATACTAGCGGTTGCACCTGATGCTTCATCAGGGCGGAAATGTGCGATTGGTACTCTTTTTCATTTTGATCCTGATTTAGATAGGTACTTGCTTTCCAGATATCATAAAGCAGTATCTATAGGTTTTGTTTAACTACAGATTTTTCCCAACCACGTTCTATTTTATAAAGAGGGCTGAAGAAAAAGCAACCAAACACTGTTAATGATAAACGACACATTGGTTTTATTGCGGATGAACGGAAGTGTTTGATGATCTCCAAGAAGTCTGCCAAAGGAAAAAGAGTCAAGTTTCAACCTCTTGGCACCTGGGCGTTCCTGTCTCGATAATTGTGATGTTGTGACGTGCATTGCTTTCGCATTTCCGGTATAAAGCGCTATTGTTGATCGCGCTCCCCCAACCCAAACTCATAAGAATGAGCTCGAGTTCGGCTGTTTAGTCCATCTTCAGGTAAGGGACGCTGTTCAAGCTTTGTGGTGGGGCGGGCGACGCATCTCTAGTGCCCCGAGCTTCAAAGTAGCAGCCTGCGAAGCGAACTGAGAGAAAATCGGTCCTTAGTTCAACGTACAACGGCAGTGTGTTCGCAGACTTGTTCGTGTGGGCACGTTCGCGCAAGTTCTCTGTACGTCCGTTCACTCCTCCGTCGTTCCGGGATAAATTTCAAGCCTTTCCAACGTGTTTATTAGTGATTCAACGGAACTTTATTCGGGATGTTCAACAGTTTCTTCGAGACTTCTCACTGGTTGTTACTTGGTGCTTGCGTTTTGGACGTTTAGCGCTCCTCGGGAGCGCACTAGTAGTGTCTTCGCCTGGGCAGCCATAGTGGATTAATTTTTCTAGTGTCGTCAGTGGTGCACTGCAAAAATCTCCAAGTTCTGCTCAAGCTCATCAGGTGACTAGCATTTTTAGGGATAAAGGTGCCAACTCTTACCGAGCCTCTGGCTTTGTTCTCATTCTACACCAGCTATTGAAGATTGTTTTTTAGATGAGCCTGAACATGAATTATTTAGACGAACTTAATTGTCAATTGGATCGCAATCCGGCAACTAGTTTTCGATTTTATCAGTCGAAATAATTAGCGCTTTGCATCTTTCAAGCTCGGATTGTACCACGACTTCAGCTAGATGTGTCACCGCCGTCTTATTTTGTCTCAGATCAACTCTTCGTCCCTCAGAAGCTATACACCCTTAAAGTTACCTACTTTTTCCATATTTTTTACAGCCTCCTAAACTCAATTTCCATCATAAGTGGATATGTTTTATTGCACTGAAATGCTAAAATCTGCTTTAAACCAAACTTAAAAAAAATCGCTTTTGATACGGAAGATCTAAGCCCTCTATGAATGAATCGAAAAGAACTAAAAAAATTAAGTATTGTTCTCATTGCCGACTCATAGTAGCCTTATGGCTAATGGTTTTGCTCTGTAGTAGGCGAAAAGTATGTCGAGCTTGATTTGGAAATCATAAATAGGCACTCTGGCCTGTTCTAAGTCCCCATAACATGCGAAAGCTTTTAACAGCTTGTACCTCGCGACACATCTTAAAATGATTAATGAAGATTTCACTTCAACGCATTGTCGCGCAAAGGATGTGTGTTTCTCGCTTTGTTAGAAAAAAGATTCAGTGTCCTACATTAGGGCGATGAGACCAATTTGTGTTCGCACTAAAACCGACAGCAAAAATGATTAATGGCGCCTTTGTGTGAAACGTGGCACCGAAACTATTTTTACCCAGCAGCCTGAAATTACTGGAATTTAGCTAAAAACAACAAGTTTCTGAAGTTGGGGAAATTGAGGAAGAGAAACAAACCACTTGATAACTCGTTATTAATTTTGCAGTCGAGATACCGTTGTTGGATGGATACAAAGTTTTAATTCTCTCTCCAGTCCCCTACTTCTCCCTAAACTTCTTGTCTATTAAGTACTCAGTTTTGGTATTGTTTTCACAAATGGAACTGCGATTAATATTTCTCGTCTTCATATTATTTGCGTCTGATGGGAGAACGATAACTTTCATTAAGGCCTTAGGATAGGTATTAGTAAAACTCACTTTGACGAAAGTTTTTTATTAACTTCAAATTACTTATTGCTTTTATTAATCCAGTCGTTTGAGAGCGATTCTTTTAAATTCATTTGACGGCCCTGTTGTAAAACTTCCAGCCAAATAAATTAAAAACCCACTCCTACAAAGCCGCTGTGTAAATTGAACGAAAACTTTAGCTTTGGCTCATCGTCCGTATTATCCTTTCCGGGATGCTAAGTGATGCTCGGTTCGGAACTTTGCTTAATTTCTGTTTATTTTTCGTTAAATAATCACGCTCAATTTAGATCGATCTTCGTTGAACCACGTGCGAGCTTACTCATTCCTTTGGACGCTTCATCTTCATTTTTCATTGGCCATCAAGATTTCTGGGGCCTGTTCAAACTGAATACCGATTTGTCATTCTTCACCGTTAGTTAACTAGAACGCATTAGCTCCCACAGAGATAACTATGCGACACTGATGATGGCCATCTCATAGACTACAAGGGATAGCCATTAATGCTGAGCAATAAAGAATCTACGAAACAAACAAGAACATATTTTAATATGCAAATTCGTTTGATTTCGAATATTGAACCTATCCAACGACCCCGGTATAGGAAGATTCTTGTAAAACTACAGGACAAGACACATTTAATCTAATGGCATGTTCTATAAAGGCCTCATTGTTTTATGACAAGCTGGATAATGAAATTTGAAGCCGCCGAAGAATCGTGACTTACCAGTTAGGGCCCCAACAACAAAGTTGACCGTTGTCTTTAGGTGAATGATTTTTTCAAGGGAATTTCGAGGGTTATTAACTGACTGAATCCTCATCGGAATAGTTTTGTTTTTAGCCGGTCACGAGATCATTTGGTTCTCTCGGTCTCTGTCTTTGAGTCACGACAGATCTACGGACTATAAAAATGTTTCAGAGAAAACAGATTAAATATTAACTGAATGGAAATTAATTGAATTATTTCAGGTATCAAAGCACTAATACTTACTTACTTCGAAACTGATCCTCGAGATAAAATCTGCCAATTAACACTTATACCTACTTATTAAATTAACGTTTTTCTTAGTATTTATTCCCGAAGTCATTCTACACTTTTTATTTCTTAATTGAAATGCGATCCTCTAACGATGAGGCGTTAGCTGAAAGATAACTTAAACGTCTTCTAATTAACAGAATCGGTATTCATGTTGGGTCTAATCTAACGGTCGTTCCGGTGATAAAAATCGAAAAAGCTAACGACTGAACGAAAATCTTCGCTTTGTCTCTTCATTTTGGCGAGATGATTTCATGCGACACTTCTGGTTTCCTGATTAATGAACTAAAAACGAGGAAGTAAAAAATAAATGACGCTCGCTTAGGTTGATTACTTCGATGCGAAAAAAACAATTAAAGATATGCTCCGTTATCGGGCATGGAAAAAATGTTGCTCCGGATTACCGTTCAATTTGTATTCGAGTGTGAAATAAATGCCCGGCTTCTTGAAACTCCCAGAATTCTCTTTTTGTCGTTTAATTAAGACAAAAGTTGTTTAGTTGACAGAACTTAGACGATTGATTTGTCTTCGGTAATTGATTTTGCTTCTGAAACGGACGAAACTGTTATTGTTTTTCGATTTGTCGAGTTTCTCAGTTCTTATGAGTTAGGATGGGAGAAAAATATCGATGTTTCGCAAACATCGATGTAATTCGTTCGTTGTTCGATATTTTTGCCATCGATGTTGGCAATTTGGGACATCGATAAAACATCGATGTTAGATCCTGAAATGAAAACATCGGACATTTGATGTTGATACTAGATTGAAACATTTTCAGCGAACTCGTTGATAGTGCCGATATAAACGATACCTCGGCATAGCGGCCCATTTCCAGCTGCACCCGAAAAAAGCCTCTTTTTGCAGTTGACCGAAAAATGTGCTAACTATAAGTTGAATAAATGTAGTCGATTATTTAATGTCATACTAATACATATATAAAATAAAATTATTTACGTTTAAGTTAGTCAATTTGAAATTTGTATGCAACGGCAAACAATCAGAACATCGATGTTGTCAAACATCGATATTACCTTTCGATGTCAACTATGTCCCTATTATGAGTCAATCAGATCATCGTTCCTTTCAATGATAACTTCCTGGAACCATACATAAATTGAAAGGTTTTTTTGAGTCCATTGTTATGCAAATTCGAGGATCTTTATAATTGACCGACCAGACTGATTCTCGTTTATTACTAGTTAAAGTGAAACCCAAGAAACCACAGTTACTAGTCGCAGCGGGAGTTTTGACCAGCTAATTTTCTCAAGCGAATCAAACGGGGTGTTTCAATCGTCATTCGTTATATGAGCACACTTTCCTAGAAAAACGACTTAGAACCAGTGACTGTCCCTGCTTCGATATAAATTAAACAATAATCGGTGAGGATCTGAAATTTTCATTGATTAATCAATTTATGTCCGACCTGCAGCCTGAACGCTGACTCGTAAGTACCATAATCAGAAATCAGTACTCAACTGGCAACTACTAATCAAAATAAATTATCAACGTATTTATTAAACGTAATATTTGATATTATGGCTTACAAGATCATGTCTCCGCTAATGCCTCATAATCAGCACCTACCAGTCCTCTTGTGGTGGAATCAGTACCATATATAGGGATGTTGGCTTGGTAGGAGCAACTTGTTTTATCGTTGACGGCTCAACAAGTGAGATTTGACTGGGTATAATGCAACGTCACTCCAACTTTAAATTGCCAGGCTGTTTTAATAATATTCTCCTCTCGACATGGAGAGGAACGACTCGTTTCACCGAATGGAAATGATTGGAAGGCGCTGACGTCGGCGTTCAAACGCACACAGAGTTTGTTATTAAAATCGGACAGACTATGTGCCTTTTAAGCAATTGCTGGTAAAGACAACCTGAAGATGACTGGATGCTTTGCAATTATGAATAGGAAGAGAGCGGGTTGGTTATCGACAAAGCAAATGACTGTGTCTTGAATGGACGTGAATGAATTAAAAGAAAAAATCGAATGTCAATGCGTTGAAATCAAACACTAAAACTAGACTTTCTAGCCAAGATCCAGTTATCTGGTTGCTCTTGAACTAGTATTCTGCCACTGTACTATAGGCAAAATCAGGGTTAGTTTTCAGTTGGTTTTACCTATTAAACCTTGTTTTAATATGGAATAAATGGTTTTAAAAGACTGCAAGGCACACATCATTTAATTACCCGCCACAAAGAGAAGAGAATGCTGCATCCGACTGTTCTACGTTACGGTATTGCAAACTTGATTAAAAAATTGATGGCAAAAGACAAAACAAAACTGAATTTTGGCAATTCTGCTGGCTGGTTGCTGCCGCTTCCAGAGCAAGAGAAGTGGAAATGAACTCCGGTATTTTATGGGCCTGTTCTGGAAAATTGGTTGTTTTTTCAACACTATTGCGTAGCTTTTTAAATTAGGTTCCCCAGTTTTTTGTAAGCCCTAAGAATTATTAAACTAAAGGGTCCAGAGACGTCGATTATAAGTGTTTGCCATTTTCAACTCTTATTTTGAATAAATTCACTTGCAATGAGTGGCAAACAAAACTGTAAAAGCCAACGAAGTGTGAATGGTCGTATAAAAAACCTAAGTGGTTTCAGGTAAATTATTTTTGCAACAGAAAAATCTCGACTGGAATTGTTCGATTTTTATTGGATGCCGAAGCGGGCAACTAAACTTTTCATCTGCCTATATCGGGCCTGTGCCCCTTTACGGGGTCGTAACAGTAACATAAAGATTAAATGGCTCAGAAATTTGCTGCTCCTGGCAGGACTGGCTGGAAACGGGCATAAAAAATAACAAACTGTCAGCAGT